GAATAGTGGGATTGACCGTCACTTTATAACGCTCCCACGGCTGAAAAGGTGAGCATGTTTGGTGGAAAGGTGATTCGAACCCACGACTCTCAGACTGCGAGTCCAGTGCCCTAACCACCGGGCCATGTCAGGCAAATCTGATAATAAGGTAAGAATTGAAAATTGTAAGCATACGAAATAAGGTAAGATATGATAAGATAAGGTAAAACAAGGCATACAAATTGAAGAACTGAAAGCATCGGAGTTTTCAAATAGGGGTAGGGGTCGCAGAGTAACATTTAGGTTTAGGACAGAGATAAAAGAAATTAAACCTTTAGATTAGTTTGTTTGTAATTAAGCACAAAGCTACACAATGGGCTATCTGTGCTTTGCCCACAACGGATATCGAAACCTGGATTCTAGCGTTGTAAGTCCGCAGACATACCGCTGTGCCACTGGGGGGGGGGGAGTCTTTTTTAGGTAAATTAAAACATAGGTAAGAAGTTGCAGAGCAAATTATGTGGAAATATAGGAATGCAACAAAATTGTCGTTTACTTCTCTAGTCAACATATTTATGTATTTTGAACATTTTAGTATAACTTTGAGAATGCTGAAATATCTGATAGCTATACAGAATAATGGACCAGGCGTGGTTTAATAGTTAGCGTTCGGGGGTGCTGATTGGCATGTTTAAGACTGGAGACCGCGATATGTTTTTGAACACTATATGTACTTTCAACTGTTATAATCACTTTTTTTGTTCAAAAGTGTGGCGGCAGGTGCTGCTAACTGGCTGCCCCCTCATGTCAGCATTTCTAAATTACAGACGGCCAGGCCTGAACCGTGAGGTTTATTAACTAATCTTTTAGCCATCATGTCATATGAAATGTCGTCCTGGCTGAAATTACTGTGCCCTCTATTCTTAATTTCCACCATGGGATTTCATATTTTCTTGGTTAGGGTTTTGTTGTAAATGGGCCTCTATGATCACAATGAGTTGATGATGCAACACTCAAACAGATTCGCTACAGACATGTTCGTAGGCGACACCCAAGTGGATTCACTATAGGCATGTTCATAGGCGACACTCAAACGGATTCACTACAGACATGTTCGTAGTCGACACTCAAGTGGATTTACTACAGGCATGTTCATAGGCGACACTAAAACAGATTCGCTAAAGACATGTATGTAGGCGACACTCAAGCGGATTCGTTACCAGCATATTCACAGGTGACACTCAAACGGAATCACTGTAGACATGTTCGTCGGCGACACTCAAGTGAAATAATTATCAGCATGTTCACAGGCGACAGTTAATCGGATTCATTACCGACGTGTTCACAAAATACTCAAGCGGATTCGTTACCGTCGTGTTTATAGGCGACACCCAAGTATATTTGCTACTGATGTATTCACAAGCGACACTTAAGTGGATTCCTTACTGATATATTCATAGGCGACACGATAGTGATGGCACAATGGATTTTTTCTATTGTCGAAAAGGTAAGTATTTTGTGGTCGTTTTCAACTAGGAACTGAAGTGTATAAATGTTTTCTGTGATTCTGTGTGCTTCCTTTAAATCCGTATATTAAAATATTTTCACTTTAAAATAAAACCTAAGACCTTAAAGACCTAAGAAACAGTTTCTGAAAATTGAGCTACTTCCTGTAAATGTAGAATCCTGAACTGAACATAAGAATTACAAGTTTTTTGACCCGTGGTTTATAATATTTTTGTTTGCTCTGTCTTCGCGGGCACATTACCATCATATGAAATGTATGTAGACATAGCTATACGAATTTTTTTAGCTTTAGGATTGTAGCACGCACTGGCGGAAAATAATATGTTTTCATGTTAGACAGTTTAAGCCATAAAAAGTTTATACTTTAAAAGATTTGTGAGGGAAGCGCCATCTGTTATTTTGAGTGGATATAAATAAGCTACGTATATTTAAATTTTGTCGGCTTGTTCTGTGGTCTGATACGTAAAACCTTATTTTAAAAGTGTGCCCAGTTCCCATGTTTTAAGAGCTTGACCTAAGCGAATCCGTGCAGGGTTTTTTTTTTCTTACATGGCGTCATTTCGTTGGTATAACAGCTTTTCGTCGCAGTTTTTTTTCAAGTTTCTTATTACACACGTGTTTCTCACTTTTTTTTTATTTTCAATATTAAGTCATAAAGTTCAGGATCGTCCCGATCTTTTCTCTATTTGGCATATTTACTTATAATTTATGTATTTTAAATGAACAATAAAGTACATTATTTTATTACCAAATTGTTTGTATAATTTACTTATTCAACAAAGCAAACAACTTGTTTATATCTATTACAAAATTAGGTGTATTTCAAATGGGAAAAAAGTACACTTATATTAAGATTTGAAAGACAGATCAAGGCATTTTTCAATTCCTAATCGTTTGTGTATTGTTAAGCGCAAAGTTGCACTATGGGCTATCTATGCTTTACCAATCGCGAGTATCGAAATCCGATTTTTAGCGTTATAAATAATTATTAATCATTGAAGTTTCACCTCTTTCCAATTGTAGTGCCCTCTGGTAGTAGTTACTTGATACTGCGTATTCTAAAAAAAAATATATCAAATATTAACTGGTTTTTGATTTTTTACTTACCATTGAAATATTAATGGCAGGCGTCAGTTGACTCCTTTTGTTTACATTTCATATAATGAGACTTTAAGAGAACTGGCAATAAAGTAAAAATAAAATTTTCTGACACATTGTTTTGCTATTTGTTGTATGAATGTGTCATATATTTTGTATATAAATAATTTATTTGTAAAAGATATTATTTGACGTATACATATTAAATTATTATGAAGTGAATTATATATATATTTAAAGCGAACTGTGTTTAATTTTTAAAATGTTAAGTAACGTATAATTGTACCTTTAAACAATTTAGCACAACACTAAATATTATCTGCCTGTTTGCCTGTATGTTAATCCGTTTTATCCTAGTCCCTTTTCTTATATACGCTTAACGTTGTCGACACTCAGTGTTCTATATTTAAACTATGTTAAAATGAAAATGTCTATTAGACTGCCATCTAAAGTTTTGAACTTAACGTTGTCTACACTCAATGTTCAATATTTAAACTATGACAAAATGAAAATGTTTAATACACTGCCATCTAAAGTTCTGAACTTAACGTTGTGTACACTCAATGTTCTATATTTAAACTATGACAAAATGAAAGTGTTTAATACACTGCCATCTGAGGTTCTGAACTAAGCTTATCATAATCCCGAGGAAGCTGATTTTTTGTTTTAGAGCAAAGCCACATTGAGCTATCTGCTGTGTCCACCGCGGGAAATTGAACCCCGGATTTATGCAGTTGTATACTTACCGCTGTCCCACTGGGGGACCCATGGAAGCGTAGTGGAGCGGATACGTCTTACTTAATGGCCATTTAAAAAAAAAAAGAGGAAAAACTTGAGCATGATGGCAGTGTACACATATAAAATAAGGATATTGAAATTCACCTATAATTTAATTTTTGGAGAAAACTTGTGAGGAAAACCACAATTAACTTTTCCAAAATTTAATGTTGCATTTTATTTGCGGGTAATGCCTGGTGTAGGCGGTTTGTAAAGGGTTAATCTATACAAACATCGGCTCGCCTAAACTCTACGTTTAGGGACAATTAGATCAATACTTAGGTTTATGATGATGTTGGTAAAAGATGGTAAGTACTCTGAAAGATAGGGTGTTTATACAAAGAATGATGTGTACAGATATATTTTTGTAGTACGTAGGTACTTCATACATATGTTTACATTTAATTACTTCAATACACAGAACTGTATTTACCATTTCATCAACTTTTACTTTTCATGTATTCTACTTGACTATATTCACATGATAAATATAAATGCACTTCGTACATGAAGCACGAGTTTACCCCTATTATTTACTTAAAAATTCATATACCTATTCTGTACTCTAAATTGTATTATGCATAAAACAGAATATGTAAGTTTTTATTTTACTTTTTTAATGAGGTAGATTCAGACATTTTTGTTGATTATACGTGAAAGCTTATTTATTATGGACCTTATGTTTTGGACTGATTGACTACAATGAATATAAATGGTTGCTGTATTTAAGTTAACTGAAATTAGCTTCAATGGTTTAAAATTATTATTATTTTTTACAGTCATACGGCCAATTACAGAATGAACACAATGGAGGTTCAACTGAAGGAAGCAATTCTGAGAGACTACCGAGCTCTTCCTCTCTCGAAGACAAGTACAGCTCTTCCGATTCCAAACAGTCAGTAAAATATTGAACATATAACAAATTATATATGCATACATCCATAATTATAAATTTTATGAGTACACATAGTTTCGATTTCCAAGGCTGTTGTTTTGTATTTTTGCTGGAATAATTTTAATTTATAACGTAATATTAGCTGATTTTAGTTTCGTACGTAAGTGAAGAAAGCTTCTTGTAATTTGTATTTTGATTACCTAAGAATTTTAACTGCGCAATGTATCTTTTACTGTCGCTAGATAATAACAACGTATACATATGTTTATCGTTCTGATTTTAAGCGGATATATTTGGTGCTTGCACTTCTTGTAAACAAGCAGTGCGTGATATATTCAGTGTGATTACATATGAGTGAGTTTATAACATATCAAGAGCAGCGATTATTGATATTATTCTAATTAAATTCTACATCTTAAAAATTGATTAATTTCTTAAGGCCTTTATTTTACATTTAAATGCCATACTTATTTTAATTTATTAATAAAAGAAAGCGCTTATTACAAAAACATATTTTTATTCCGATTATTTTAAATGAAATGAATATTAATGATAGGCGTCCATGTAGCCATACGTGAAGGAAAACATCAGAAAATTTCTAGAATCAAGTATTTGGATTGTATTTTAAAAAAATGATAGAATACTTTCTTTCAAACATGACTCACAGTTTGCCAAGACATTAAGTCCTGACTCAATTTATTACCCGCATCGTCAATTACAGTTGTATAATTATACAGAATAGATAATTTATAACAATAATAAACTAGTCAACAAGTAAAATTCTGGGATGGAATAATCTCCAGAAATACTGAAAAGAGTAAGGTTGTCTTACATTCAAATAATATTTTGTATATAAGGTATGAAAATAAAATATGAATTGAAAGTGAGAACCATAGCTCGTTCATTCACATTCATTGGTTCATTGAAAGTCTTTGCTTGAAAAAAAAAGCATTATTTTCATACGTGTATATGAATATAACACACAAAGAGAAACACAAATAATAATTTCAGAAAATTATGGTTAAATCCTTTTGAACTACGTTAGTGACGATAAACATTTGGAGCTTGTTTAAAATTATAAATACGACAGATTAGTCGTGGTATGCAGCTTTTTATCATAACCCTGAAAATATATCCGAGTCTGCGAACAATCTTCAATTAATGCTAAATGACTTTATAAAACGAAACAATGATTTTTTTTAATGTGACTTTACCAAACGTATTTTATCCTAAGTGTTCTTTTTTTTTACTATCATAAAAATTACTTTGTAACACACTTATCATAACCTTGCAGTTTATCTTGAATTATGCCTATTTGGTTTTGTGTTTTTGTAAACAAAAGGTTTTATTTATTTGAATTAGCTTTATCTGGTTTCTTTAGACGTTGTGCGCATTTTATTAAAGAAGTCTAATGAAATATTCTACAATATTCAATTTGATCTTGACTTTAGAGCTATCAATAAAACCTACAGACGGTGCAGACAAGAGATCTTACCTCTAATGTCACCATAGAAAATTCTGTATTAAGATTCTTTCAGAAATATCTTCGGAATATTCAGAGTATTATCGTCCCCACATAATGTTTCCATGACAGGCTACATATTTAAAATCCTGCAAACACAGAGAGATTTTAATGATGTGATATTAATATGTCGATGATATCATAACGATCATTTGAAGCTTAAATGTATAATTGCATTCTAACAAGGCGTAATGTTTTACAGCATTTACAATCTTCTTTTACAGTTTAGTTGAAGAAATATCAGATCATTCTGCTACACATTACAGATTGAAATTTGCCAGTAAAATACATTTGTTTCTATAAAGCTATTATGGTAGCTTAGATATAAAAACTCACTTAGAATTTCAAATCTAAATATAGAAATGATTTTTCTTTCATATACTTCTTTACAAACTAGGCCGAGTATAACCTAGTGAGTATTATGTCGGGCTGCAGATAAGAATTAAGGTCCAAGGTTTGAGCCTGCAATATGCTACTGAACAAGTTCCGCAATGCATCAAAAAACATTTCCTGAGACACTTTACTATCGAAACACTCGATAATGGCAATTAGGAGCTCAAATAAGGCTATAACTCAACTTTAACAGTTGTTTGTCAGCATAATAGAGTAATAAATTGAATGCAGCGACCATTTGTTTTCGACCCATCCCTACAACTCAACACCACTGTGCTCAGTGATAGGGATTAGGATTAACATGAGCCATCGTTTTTTATTTTGTTTTTTTTACATTGCAAAATATTTATCGTCATTAGAAAATAAAACCCACACATGAACGACAGAGGGCTGCAATTCTGTTATAAGTTCTTCGTTACTTTTCTTTTAAAAAGATTCTAGAAGAACTTCTCTATTGCAGGTCATAACATATAGCTCAATAAAAACCTTGTACAAAAAAGTGTAATTACGTTACTATACAGCTTATCACCTTATTTAAGAGCCCACTGTTTGCTTAGTTGTTTATGCGAAAAGCTAAATAATAGGCTATTTGTGCTCTGTCCAATACGGGAATCGAAGCTCGGATTTTAGAGTTGTAAGTTCGTAAACTTACCGCTGACCCACTGGGGAATAAAAGCTCACTCATTTCAAATGCTCATTTGTTAGATATAAGCAACATAACGTTTAAACAGTGCATACTTTGGTAAATCCTATTCGTATTTGTTTGTTGTTAAGCGCAAAGCTACACAATGGGTTATCTGTGCTGTGCCCATCACGAGTGTGAAAACCAAGTTTTTAACGTTATAAGCCTTCAACCCTGCTGCTAAGCCATTGGGGGTGTGACGGGGGCTTTAATAAACTTGTAAGCGTTGTGTTACTAATAGTTAACCTTGCCTGTTATTTTCCTTATACGCTGAATACTTTTTTAAATAACATTAAAAAAATTAACAAACCTGATATGAACTTACAACATAAAGTTTGAACTGAATATTTATTTCAAGCCATTACTCGAGTATAAAGCATCAGAAGACCAATAAATGAATTCCATGAACAGTTTCAACAATGTTTTAAAGACTTAGAAGTTAAGAACATTTTAAAATTGCTTGTTTTTTTTCGGACATTCGCGGAAAACTACACAATTATTTATACGAGGTTAGGGCACTTTCAATATTGCGTTCAAGTTTAAGGCTTCGATCACAATTTGGATCATTTTTAGTCAAGATGTCCACAGCTTGATCAAATAGGGATAATGAATCTGACAGCATTTTCCGTGTTAAAAACAATAGCGGCTCTGGTTCCTCATCGTCTCTCCATCAGCAGTCCGTTCTTGGTCAATGTTCATAAGTTCTTCATCGGTTAGTTGTTCATGGTGTGATGCCAGTATGTCATTGATGTCTTGCTCTTCAATTCCATTAAGCCCAACCTGATGTGCTAATGATACGATTTTTTTTTAGAACAGGTTTTGTATCAGGGACGTCTTGAAAATCGTGCACACATTCTGGCCACAGTTTTCTCCAAACTCCATTGATATTTGAGGTGGTAACTTCCTTCCAAGACTCTGCTATGTTGTCTATGGTCCTTGATGTTGAACGATTTCCAGAAATCTCTGCTCGAGGTGTTTCTGTCACTGTCCATTATCCTGATCATTTGTCTGAAAGATGCGTCGTAGGTAATATGCTTTAAAAGTAGCTATGACTCCTTAATCCATGGGTTGGATCAAAGAAGTGGTATTTGGGAGAATAAACTCCACACTAATGTTCCTTGATAAGTCAGTTAGGTTGATAGGGTGGCTTGGTGCGTTGTCGGCAAGCAGCAGTGCTTTATGGGGAAGGTTTTTCATAGAAAAACATCTCTCCACTGCATGGCAGAAAATGTTGGTAAACCAATCCTTGAAAATTGTTCTTGTTGTTCAAGCCTTGTTGTTGGACCTCCAAATGACTGGCAGGTTGGTCTTGACGTACCCCTTAAGTGCCCGTGGATTCTCAGAATGGTGAATCATAAGGGGTTTCAACTTGAAATAACCCCCTGCATTGCCTCCTAGAATTAGGGAAACTCTGTCTTTGAAAGCTTTGTGACCTGGTGTTGACTTTTCTTTCCTTGACAAGACTGACCTATTTGGTATCTTCTTCCAATATAGACCAGTCTCGTTAACGTTGAAAAACTTGACGGGTCGTATATCCCCCTTGTTCGATAATACCTTTTAGAACTGACAGGTACGCTGCTACTGCTGCCTCCTTATAAGCACTTGCTGCCTCACCGGTCATCTTTAGGCTGTGTAAATTATGCCTTTTTTTAAACATGTCGAGCCAGCCTTTGCTTGCAGTAAAACTTCTAGTTTCTTTAGTACTTGTACTAGGTTTTGTTTCTGTCTGTTCTTTTTTTCTGCAGGTCTTCAAATAATGAAAGTGACTTTCCTTCAAAGCCATGTTAGTCATCGGCGAATCCTTCCGCTGCTTTATGCCATCCATCTATAGAGCTAACAGACGTTCCATTTCTCCATTATGTTAGGGCGATGCCTAGTTAGTAATTTAGCAGATGCAGGTATAGAAGACTTAGCACTTTGGATAACGTTTTCATTTTCTTTCGTGATAGTTGCTCTAACTGACGGTGATAACGTGAACGCCTTGCGATCTGTGAGTCTCTGGCTTTCATCAAACTTTTTGATGATTTCCAGTTTTGTTGATACTGAGATGATCTTTCTTGCTTTTTGTGGCTTACTACTGGCACTAGAATCACTTGCAGTACGTTTACCAGTCATTTTGGATTTAAGGGCAGAGTAAAATGTGAATAAAACTTGAGAAATCAGTTGGTTGTCACCTTCAACGATTCAAACAAGACGCGTGAGATGTAAACAGACGCCAAGGTGTTATGAACTCTGGTCAAACTGCGCATTTCACGACGTTTTAGTGAGTTATATTCAAAATTTAATTAAATTACTTCATTACCACAATATACGAACAAACTTGACATCAAACCATAGATAATAACTCAACTTTTAATATCATATAAGTTTTAAGTTCGTAATTATGTAAGAAAATATTTAAAAACAATCTCAAATTACC